TGTTGACCAGTTGATGGAAGTATTTCAGATTGCATGTGAAAACCCCACACTGTACCCCAGAAGTGCATTAATGTACATAGTTACCGTTCAATAAAAAAAAGAAAAAAAAAAAAAAGAAACCATCATGAGAGTGGAAAAGCAAGACTCCAATGTATTCTATTCTAATATGAAGGCAGATGAATTTACACAAGGGGGTGGAAGGTAGGAGAATGAGCAAGTGGGGAGAGGAGAGGAGGGAGGGGGAGGGGGGACACAGTGTATGGCATATCTCTTAGGGATGGGACACAATTATAAGAGGGACTTTAACAAATGCAATCAGAGTAACATAGTTCTTTGTACCCTCAATGAATCCCAAACAATAAAAATACATACATACATAAAGGAATGAGTCTCTGTTCTCCTTTTCAGGCAGGAGAGATCCTAGAAAGGATTCTGGCCTAATCATCAAAGTTAATCATAACCTTATTGTCTCTTCCTCATTTCTGACAGGTCTTAAGTGGTTATCATGAAGATAATCTTTATTGTCCCTCTGTCGATAGTATTTTCTTATGCTATGATACTACCAGTGCAATTAGCTTATAATACTAATTACTAATAATTACTATTAGCTACTGGTCATGATACCTACATATATTAGAACTATTCTAACTCCTCAAAAATCACCTCATTTAATTCTTTTTTAAAAAATTCTTAATATATCAATCTATCATCATCCCCTATTTTATTTTATTTGCAGCTTTTGGCCGGGGCTCTGTTTGAACTAGCCACCCCTGGTATATGGGGCTGGCGCCCTACACCTTGAGCCATAGACACCAACCATCAGCCACAATTTAAGATAAGGAAATGAAATTGGAAAGACCAAATAACATTTTTGTCAATATCAAAACACTAGCTTTGGATCAAGCACAGTCTTGAACCTATGTTGTCTCAATTCTGAGCTTGTGTTATTTATCAGTTTGTTTTATTGTTTTCATACTTTAAAAAAGCAAATCTTAAGAGTTCAAAATTTTTGTTGTCACTTCTGTTGTAAGACACCTGATTATTGACACTCTCTGTCCTTACTTAAATCTAGATTACATGTAGTTTTTGATCTTAAGGGGAGAACAAAGGGTTCTGACACTGAGCCCCTACTGTGTGGTAAACACTTTCATTACCTTAGCATACATCACCTCAATTGTTTATCTTTTATTATCTATTTTTTATTTTTATGAATGAGAAAACCCAGGCCAAAGACATGACTTAACAGCTATCTTTTGAAAAGCCTGCTGTACTCATCTAAAAAGATGGATAACCTCGTATTTAGTGGAAAGACACAATAAATATTTGAAGATACGTGGGATTTGGGCGCCAGTCCCATATGCCGGAGGTGGTGGGTTCAAA